GTTCAAAATTCAAAATATATGAAAGTGTAGAATGAACATCAACCTTCTTTCCTCTCTAGCTCTCTGCTGCCTCAGGATCTCCCCCGAGACAGGTGCTCAGCCAGTTTCTTGTGTATATTCTGTACATTTACACATAGACAAATAGTTTCTTCCTCTCTCCTCCTGCCCCTCTTTCCTACTCTCTCCCTCTTCCCCTCCCTCCCTTTCTTCACCCACACTCTTTTACATGTGGATGTTAATAGGGTGGATTCACAGTTATAAACGGTATAATTGCCACAATAGCATTGGGTGGCCTTTCTAGACCCTGAAAAGTCCTAATTGTTCACTTACAAACTCTGGTTTCTCTGTTAGTACGTCACTTTCACGGACATATACATTGAATCCATTCAACTTCTTAAAATTGTGTTGGAGTTATTTGCTGGGTTTGCTTCAAAGTGGACAGAAAGCAAATGATTTCTACCATCTCTCACAGATTTGCATTTTGGAGGAGTGTAATTATTTTATCCAATTCAGTCACTAAGTTATAGGGGTACACATTTAAAAAATTCAAATTGCATACCAGTGTACCTGAATGAAGAAAAACCCCCGAAAAAATAAGAATTAGAGGACACGGTAGCATCACATGAAGCGAGATAAATAATGCAAAAATCTGAAACTAGAAAAGGTGTTTGACGTTTAAACAGTCTTAAGGATAGAGCATCCACAAATGCCAGTCTTTGTGGGGAAAATGCATCCAGTATTCATTCGAGACACCACACAGCCCATTCCTAACTCTTGATTCCTGTGAAGAACAATTCACACGGCCAGGAAAGTAAGGCTCTTAGATGTACAAAGCCAAAGATTTATCAGGACAGATGCCTGGCATTTAGGAAACAATTTGGACACAGAGACAAAAACATAATCTCTTTTCCCCATAATGTGGCAGCAGAGAATAGATCAAAAAGCATTAGGCAGAGAAGTCCAGCAGAGACTAAAATCGGGAAGGATTTTCACATGCAGAGGTATGAAGAGAAAGAGCAGGCCAGGCGCTGACAAGCAGAAGGAAGATGCAGATGATCGCTCTGCATTAATCGTAAGAATTGCTGTAAAACCTTTACCACCTCGCCCCTCGGCTTACCCCAGTTTATGCCTCTGTCTGTAGCGAGGGTTGCTGCTTCCTTTCATGGCTTTCTCATTGCTTGCTGTCCACTCACAAATTCTTTACAGTATCATTTCCAGTCACTCCCATGAACACACATTGAGTCTCTCTCATGAGTAAGATGGCACTAGGTGTCGAAATGCAAACTGAAAATAAGCAGAGGCTCTTCATTCTGAGCCTAGCCTCACCTGTGAAGGGATGGGGTTCAGTGGCTGGCTTTCTACTAAGGCGATTTGCTACTCTGGGATTGTTCAGCAGCACAATACTCAGCTGTGTCTCTACTTGATTTCAGAACACTCCTTAGGTAACACCTTGGTTTTAGGTCCTTAAGTGGCCATCCATGTTGGAGGTATCTCCTACATTCTGCTGTTCAGTGGCTGGGAAGGAGATTCCTTTTTTGTAAGTAAGGTAATGTTTAATTACAACCATGCTCATGATGAACTCTCCTAGACATAGAGATCCTTAGATCTGTGATAACTTACAGCAACTTCTCAGGATTCTTCTGGAATGCTTGTTTACAAGCCTTGACACAGAAATACACCTGTGCGTGTCAGTTTCTCTCTGCCTCCTTTCTCAAGAGAGCTGAGATAGGCTAGAGAAATACATACAATTGCAAATGGATAAAACACAAATCCCAGAATTAGGGGGACAAAAGGAAGGAAAACAGGAACCAGAACCATGGGCATCTATTTCTTGATACGCAGGCTGTAAGTTCAGATGTGAGAGAGTCCTCGATGGAGGCAAAAAAAGAAACCCTAGGTGAAGATCACAACATCCAAGTGTCCAGGATAAACTTGTTGTTACAAGGAAGCACAGTTTTTATGTCTACTGAGAGAAATCCTTCCCCTGGATCCTTTTAAGAATGGCACAGCCGGGCCCTCCCTGGTGGCGCAGCGGGTTAAAGCGCAGCACTGCAATCTGGCTGCAGCCTCTTTAGCATGAGTTCGAAAAGTGGCCTGGAGGTGATCCATATGACGCAGCAGACCTCTCCTGACCTGCCCGCTGCTCCCCTCAGCAGTGTACTTCGTCCATCTGCCTGTTCTGCTCTCCGCTCTGTCTCTGGTGAATCCTCTCACCACTCCTGCACCTCTGGCTTGTACCCTATTTCTGTATGCATAAATAAATAAATCTTTTTAAAAAATGATACAGCTGTCTATTGGCTGTGATACAGAGTGACTTACAAATCTCATGTATTTTCTATAACCTTAATATGTGTTAAGGTAGTCTTGATGCTGCTCTTCAGTAAGATGACTCCACTGATTATGCGCTTGGTCACTGTGACATCAATGGTTATGCCAGTTCCTAAATGCTGACCTTCAATTTCTCTCCCTTTGGAGGCCTACTTTGACACAGGTGATGAACACATGCTCCAGCATCTGTGGGTCACACTTGGAGAAGGACAGGGAAGGTCCAAGGATTTTAGGAAGCATTTGTGGGGCAGGTGCAGGAGAACAAAGAATCAGGGATGAGTTCCAGAATTGTAGTGATGGGTTTTACTAAACAGCAAAGAAAATGGAGGAACGATGAGAGGAGGAGAGAGCAAAAGTTCTGCCCTGAGAATATGAAGAGGCATTTAGACGTTCAAGTAGAGAGGTCCAGTAGAAAGCTGGGTGAGTGCTGAAGTCAGGCCAGACTGTCACGTGGGAGCGCGTAAGGACAGTTTGCATCCACAGTACCCCCTGGGCTCTCTATCCGGGCTCACGAAGGCAGAGACCCAGCACCTTCACCTGGTGACATTCTGACACGAGAGTCATTGACTCCATCAAGAACTTTAGATCTAATGTTTATGTGCCCCCAGGACATTATAGAATGTGCAACCCCAGAGTGTCACGATGCTGACAGGGTCCATAAGTGACCCTGATAACTGAGTGAGCTCCAAGCACACTTTCAGCTCTGAAACATCCCAAGCCGCGTGTTTTTCAAGTGTCCTAACCATGACGTAATAGCTCAAATGTGGCCTCCAAGGGGCTATGTCCATGCCCAGCACTTGTGGGTAGGACTTTATATGGTGGATGGCTCTTGGTAGACGTAATTACATTATGAATGTCAAGAGGAGAGTTTCCTGGATTGTCCAGGCAGGTCCTAGGTCCAATGGCAAGTGTCCTTACCAGAGACATTCAGAGGGCAGCTACCAGCAGACAAGGAGACTGTGGCAGGGATTGGAGAGAGGTGGCATGTCACCAGAGAAGCTGAGGGCCATTTGTGGCCAGAGGCTCACCCTGCCCCCCACACAGCCAACACCTTCAGGCAGAGCAAAGCCCCAGCGACTCAAGTACGTTGGAATTTGCCCTGCAGAACTGAGAGTGAATACTTTTCTCTTATTGCAAGGCACCCGATCATGGGAATTTGAAGGCAGACAAGGGAAAGGAAAAAGTGGAATCTTAGCTGACTTGTTTCTAACATTTCCCTAGGATTGTGCTTTATTCTGATGGTGACTTTTAACCCTGTCTGTAGGAATAGCAAAGAACTTTAAAAAATGCCATTTTGGGTCACACCATCAGAGATTCTGCTTCAGCCAACGCTGAGGTCCAATCACGATGCTATTAATCAGGCACCAACCTAACACTGGGGGTGATGCCTAGTGGGTGGCAAGATACATAAAACTGTTTTAACCTTAGGAATTGTTTGGAAACATGCCATTTTGCATCTTTCGGCCCAGATACAAAGTGCTTTTAGAAATTATCTGAAACAACCTCCGGGCAGCTGCTTCTGCAGGCTCCAATGCACCAAGACCTTTCTGTTTCCACCATGAAGGAATTCACGGATGTGAGTTGCCACAATGGTGGCAGATCTGATACGTCCCTCATGGTCCCTAGACAGGCTGGGGAGGGCATCGCCTTCTAGATAGAGGCTTGACGACACTTAACCTTAGCGTGAATTAAAAACTGTCACTCGAAAGTCCTTACCCCAAATTGTCCTTCCAGAGAACAATTTCTAGTGGCACAGCTCTTCACCTCATGTGCGGCCTCGATGCCTGATGTACTGACTAGAATAGTAAGTCATTATGCTGAGGGAAGAGGCTTCCTCATTGTGGCACAAAGCAATTCCTTGTATATCAGCCCTAAATAAATGTTTCTTTATTTCTGAAGTTGCGTGACTCCCGCGGGGGCCTTCCGACAGCGTCAGAAGCAGTCAGGAGTGAGACGTGGCTAGCAAGCCCGCTTGTCTGCAAAGGGCCTTTCATGCCATCCATTGAGTCCCCAGGAAGTCTGAGGTCACGAGCTTGGCGGAAGCACATGAGCTCGATAATGAAGATGGTTTTGCCCCCTTGAAACAAAGCCAGAAACTTTATCTACTTCATTGTGCACTCCGGGTCATGTGCTAACGAGGAGAATTTCTCTCATGCTAATTCCCCTAATGACGGCTTCTCCCAGCCCTTCCACACACCCCGCAACGCCCCATTGCTTGGCGAACCCGACAGAATAAAGCCAGCGCGGTGTTTGGCTTTTGAACTGAGTTCAAGGCAATTAAAGTCAAGCGCTAAGGCGGGAAGGAGAGGGCTTAGAAATAGCAGCATAATAAGGAGTCTGATGGGGCGCTCTGTGAACTAACTCAATTAGACAAAGCCCGATTTAACGGGGGAGACGGAGAAGCGCTACCCTCATTAAACTAAGCTGTTAGAGGCGCTTCTAGCAGCATTAGGTTTGTCGCAGTTTGAACCCCATCAATGGCCTGTGCGTGTGCACGGCCACATGTGTACACGCAGAGGCGCTGTGATCGCTGTGGGTATTTTCTAAAAAGGAGAGGACTAGAGGGCAAGGCAGGCAGCTCCCCAACCCCCACAATCAAAAAATTGAGTGACTGCTCCGAAACTCAGAGCAGGAGGCCAGGAGAGAGCAGCGGAGAAGCAAGGAGCGGAACCATGAGCCTCCTCGGCTGTGGGCTTCTGCTCAGCTGGAGCCTGGGCTGGGCCAGCCTGCCCGGGGCCGCGGCGCAGTTCCCACGGGTCTGCATGACCGTCGGCCGCCTGGTGTCCAAGGAGTGCTGCCCACCGCTGGGCGCCGAGCCCGCCAACACCTGCGGCTCCCAGCAGGGCCGGGGCCGCTGCACGGAGGTGCAGGTGGACACCAGGCCCTGGAGTGGCCCTTATGTCCTGCGCAACCAGGATGACCGGGAGAGGTGGCCTAGGAAGTTCTTCGACCGGACCTGCAAGTGTGCAGGTGAGGAAGGGCTCGCCTCGCGGGGTGCGCTCTGAGGACCGGGATGCGACCCCATTCTACGGAGATGCGCTCTGGCCCCGTCAGAGCAGGCTCGAGAAAGCAACGCGAGTTTGCTTCTGGGGAAGGCTGATGTCTCGCTGCATCAGTCACCCATCTAGTACTTGTAGTTAATGCGGCGCCATGAGTATGCTAGGGACCCTGCCCACGATAGGAACTGCGCCAACATGCCATCAGCTTGTTTGTTGGATGGAGACGCTCAGGAGCTTCAGGTTTGGCTTTGATACGCAGAGCGAGTCCCTTCGGGAAGAATTCGGTGGCCTCTGCTTCTGAGATGGGTTTGCACTTGTTGGGGACGGGGGTGGGAGAGGCTTGGCAGGAGAAGACAGGCGTCCCGGGCAGGGTTCCCCAGTCCTGCTTACAGCCTTTCTTTTTCCTTTTTCTAAAATTATATATATATGTGTATTTGCATCATTCTTCATTTTTAGACAATGTTTGCATTCTCCTGTCAGGTGTAGTCCCCGTGAAATTCCCACCACCAGTTCACTGGTGCACCATCACCTCAGTGCCAAGTGCTAGTCCCACCTGTTTTGAGCCTGCGCCCTCCTCCCCCTGCAGAATGTCCCTGATTTATCATCGCCTGTTGATTTTAATTTTTGATTTGTTATAATTACTTTTTTCCCTTCTTGATCCCTTGCTTGGTTCCTCTACACTCCTCCTATAAGTGAAATCATCTGATATTTTTCTTTTTCTTTCTGGCTTATCTCACTGAGTATGCGCCCTTCCTGCTCCATCCCTTTTGCTGCGAATGGCATGAGTTTATCTTTTTGATTGCTGAGTAATATTCCATGCTGTATATGTACATCTTCTTGATCCAGTCACCAACTTTGAGCATTTGGGTTGTTTCCATGGCTTACCTACTGTAAGTAGTGCCCACGTGCAACCTTTCTAATGACCTGGGCAGATCTCAAGATCTCAAGCAAGCGCCCCTTGCTTGTCATATCTCTGGCCAGGTTGCTGCTTTGCCAGAGCTGGAGGGATGTGGCAGGAGAAGGGACACTCAAGAATGACAGCAGTGACTTGCTCCTTTGTCTGCATTTGATGTGGACACTTCAAAATTTTCCCTCTTCTATTTCTTGGTCTGTCTTATTACCCATCTTTGGAATCTCTCTGCATTTCTCTCATTTCTCTAGAACTTCTCAGCCTCATAATGTGCCCCTCACATTCAGCTGCCTCACTCAGTGGTGATGAACCCCCAAAGCCTTGCAGGGCATCTGCAAACAAAAAGACCTCAGGGCATCTGTGAATGGAAAGACCATGGTCAAGCTGTTGTATAGTGTAGAGTTGCCTACAGCTTTTCCTTTTAAAAATGTTTCTGTTTCTGTTCTCATTGGGGTCGGAACAGGAAAATACAGATTATGGAACTAGATAAGGGTATAAAAAGGTAAAGGACAAAGGACTTTAAGACTGAAGCAGGAGTGCCAGCAGCTTTTTTTATACCTTGCTTTATACTCATGTCGTAGTTACATTATTAAGTCTGTGAGTCTCAGAAACAGTTAGCTTACCCTGGATATTCATGGTGACCAACATTGTTAATATTTAATAGCACATTGAATAGATGCTCTCCATTTTTCCTAAGCTAATAGACCTTGCTTTAATAGGCCTTATCTGAGTTCTCCTGGCTTTTCAGTCTAGTCAGAGTCAGCAGGTCTGATACTATCCGTGTGACTAGAAAGCAGAGAATACAATACTTCTTTGTCCATGAATCTAAAAACTTTTCTAGAACAGGTATTTCAAGGCCAGTCAATGATGGAATGCCACACCTTACAATCCATTTTATGGACTCTTGGGGCAGAATATACTAGGAAATCAGTTATGACTGTTAGCTCTCTTTTATTCATAAAGATTGACTCCTTTCTCCCTTCCTTCCTTCTTTTCTCCCTTCCTTCCCCCTTCCCCTCCCCCCCCCCCCCAGGTTTGGTTTACAACACTACATATGATTTAGAGGCACTGGATCACTCCTTCTGGTCTATGTGAAGAGGTCACACCCACCACCAAGGCACTGAGAGTCCTCTGCCCAAGTCCATCGGGCCCCTTCCCCACATAACTGTTAATTCTTCTGACCACACCCCTATTATGTTTTTGGCCAGGCTAGCATATATTTATTTTAGTGTGGGGATGGAGAGAATAGAAAATGGCAGAATAGGAGGGACCATTGCAATCGATCTTCCTTGAAGAAATGCTTGTAAATATTCCTGTATAAGTAACAATGCTTACTGTTAGAATGGCCTGCTTTTAAAACATAAAAAGCCCCCCCCCCCCGCCCTGCAGAGGGAAACAGACTTGAGAAGTGCGTGGGCCAGACACAGGGCCTGCCCTATACGTGCTGGCTGGAAGGATAGCTCAAGTCTCCTGTCCCATGCAAGGCAGCGAGGCTTCCTCAGAGAGGGAGGTCGGTGGTCTCCATCTCCAGCCACAGCCAAGGTCACAGCTGTCCTGAGCCTCACGAGCAGACTGTGGCTGGCTTCCCCTTTTCCATGGTTGGATTTGTCTAGACTCACATAGGCCCATAGCTCTTTCCAGCCAATGTAGGATGGCGCCACTCTGATGGTTTTTTGCTTGAAGACTCAGGGCATCCTACCAAATCCTTAGTGCCAGTATCAGAAAATTATCTAGCAGACACGGTAATCACCATTCTGTGATATGACAGGTATCCCAAGGCAAGTTGACACATTTTCTTCAGTTTTTTTCTCCCCAAGGGTGAGTCTCTCTCCTTCCTAGGGTAAATTTTTCATGGTTTGGGAGACAAGTCTTCAAAATTTAACCAAAGCTGGAGTCCCCCACAGCCCCTCTTTCTGCCGTGTCATAATTCTTTTGCAGACAGGACTCCTGGCATTCTCCTGAGCCACCCACAGCTTACCAACAGAGAGTTGTAGATTGGTTTCTGGTAACCAGACTGTTGATGATCCTGAAATCTGTTAACACAAAGGAAAAATAAACACATTATTTATCTGCTAATGGACATTTAAGGGTTTCTACATGTTGGCTTTTGTGAATAATGCTGCAGTAAATACAGGAATGTTAATATCTCTATGAAAGCCTGATTTCAATTCTTTGTGGCTATATGCTCAGAAATGGGATTACTGGATCATACGATAATCCTTTTTAATTTTTTTTAAAGATTCATTTATTTATGCATACAGAACTGGGTACAGGCCAGAGGCACAAGGGCAGTGGAGGATTCACCAGAGACAGAGTGGGGAGCAGAATAGGCAGATTGACGAAGTACACTGCTGAGGGGAGCAGTGGGTGGGAGAGGTCTGCCATGCCATGTGGATCACCTCCGGGGTGGGGATTGAACTCATGCTGAAGTGGCTTTAGCTTTTTAGTGCTGTGCTTTAACCCTCTTTGCCACCAGAGAGGGCCCCCTTTTTAATTTGTAAAGGCACCACCATACTGTTTTCCATAGCAGCAAACCCATTTTGAATTCTGACAAAGCAGAAGGTTTCACTTTTTCCACTTCCTTGCTAAGTGGTTTATACAAATGAATAGTATTCAGCCTTTCAGAAGTAAGAAACTCAGAACTCCCTGGTGGTGCAGTGGGTTAAAGCACAGCACTATGATGCTGTCCGCAGCCACTGCGGCACGTGTTCTGTTCCTGGCCAAGGAGCTGACCCACACAGCACAGCAGACCTCTCCTGACCTGCCCACTCCTCCCCATCAGCAGTGTATCTCAGTCAATCTGTTCCCCACTCTGTCTCTGATGAATTCTCTTATCCCCACCCCCCACCTCTGACCTGCACCCCAGTTCTTCTATGCACAAGTAAATATATCTTTACCCAAACAATGTAGGAAATTCTGTAATATGAGACATGAATCTGGAGGACATTATACTAAGTGAAGTAAGACAGCTACAGTAGGACAGATGCACTTGGTACCTAAGGTAGTCATTTGTAGAATCGGAGAGTAGAACCGGGGGAGCGGCAGAGCACATGAGAGTTATTATTCCCTGGGCGTAAAGTCTCAGTTTAGCAAGATGAATAAGATCCAGCATTCTTATTCCATATTCACCTACAGCTCCCCACCGTGTTTTGGTAGAGTAGCAACAACTAATGTTGGCGAGGATGTGGAGAAAAGGAACTCTCCTGCACTGCTGGTGGGAATGCAAACTAGTACAACCACTATGGAAAACTGTTTGGAGGTTCCTCAAACTGCTTAACATGGAGCTTCCCTATGACCCAGCAATCCCACTCCTAGGTATCTATCCCAAAGACACAAAAACACTGACTCAAAAAGACACCTGCACCCACATGTTTATTGCTGCTTTACTTATAATTGGGAAGACATGGAAACAACCTAAATGCCCAAAAATAGATGACTGGATTAAGAAGATGTGGTACATATACACAATGGAATATTACTCAATGATCAAATAAGATAAACGCATACCTTTTGCAGCAACAAAATGGATGGAGCTGGAAGGGATCATGCTTAGTGAAATAAGTCAGAAAGAACAAGAAAAATACCGGATAGTTTCACTCACAGCAGGAGCATAAAGAACCAGGGAGAAAATAATAATGAACAACTATATACCAGAGACATTTTATGGGGGTGGAGTGGGGAATGGGATCAAAAAGGGGGGTGGCGGGTAGAAGTGCACGGGACTGTGGTGATGGCAAATGGGTGAATTAGTGATGGGAAGTCCACGGAGATTACAACTGAGATGGAAAAATAAACTATTATTTTAAAAAAATGTGTTAGGAGGTCTGATCTCATGTAAGTGTCATTCCCATAATAAAAATAAAAAATGAAAATAAATAAAAATAAACAGGCACGGAAGTTGGTCAGATATTTCAGCTTATTGTAGAAATAAAGGCGACTTCTGAAGGAAGAAAACCCTAAATTATGCATTCGAATTCTCTAGAGGGCACTCCCCTCCTCTCTGCAGGAGAAGCTGAAACAAGACTATTGAACTTAATTGTCAGGAAGAGCTGATTTTCAAGAGATGCTGGCAGGAACTGTTCACCTTACAAGTCTTTCTTGCCAGTTGGCATTTCTGAGAATCTACCTGTTGCCACCTTCAAACTTCTGAAAAATGTGCACATCAAATTGTTTTTGAACAGTTGTCTGAGAACTTCTTGTTCATACAAGTGACTAAGTTCCTCCATGTTTCAATCTCTGAAATGGGGATAATGATGAAACCACACTTGTAAAATCCTTTTGAGCTCTGTAGATGAAAGGCCCCATGTGAGTATAAAGTATTGTTATTAAAATAATAGAATGTCTAATTAAAAGGAATAGGCTACTTAGAGTTCCTTGTAAATTCACTAATCGGTGGTCTTTAAGCTTATTTAGTCTAATAGCCCCCTGAGGTTGAGCTGATACTGTTCGTGTAGAAACCTGTATTGTGTGATTGTTCTCGCCTTTTCCATTATTACCGCAGTGCTAAGGAGACAGAAGACTTTGGCTTTTGAAATTTCATTTTTGCTCAAGGACATACTCATTGGTCCACAGATCATTATCTCAGGACCCTTGATTTTTTTTCTTCTCCATTTTCCAGCAAGAGAATTTGGTCTTTTCTAAAATGATTATATTTTAGGATTATAAATAAGCTGATATTTACTAACCCTTTTAAAATATTAATTTTTACTATTACATTTTCTCAGAGAGAATATTTACATTTCATACTATATTTTTTGCTGCTATTGTTGGTGTAAAGGGAAAAATTAATTTTTCAGACTGATGTAAAGGACTACGAGAACAAAGTGATGAACAAATAATTAAGTTGTGTGCATTTTCTTTATATATGCAACGAAGCTGTGTACTTTCTGTGGTCCTTTTTCATTGTCTTTGGCATTTTGCACATTCATTTGACTAAATTTGGAAGCTCAAAAATGAAGGGGCCTGACTTCTGAGCTTTGTGTATTTTCTATGAGCCACACTGGAAAAGGAATTTTTCCACCTACTAATGTCAGTATAGACCACATGTTAGTGTAGACCCTGACTTCATGAGCTCGTATCGGGTGAGCACTTTCTTATTAGGAGGTTTGTATGTAGCTTTTCAGAGGTAACTCGGGTTTGGTGAAAAGAGACATCTTTGTTCCGCCTGATTATGAAGCATCTCTGGTCTTCTGAGTCAGAAATAATGTCGTTTTTTTGTCCTTCCCGGAGCTTAGTTTATTCCTCTGTTTTCACTTTCTCCACTGTTAGACATGCTGTAATGTTTCATCAGCTTATGTCCATCATCTGCACCTCCTACTATTTAAATGCCTTTTATTCAGTCATTCATGGGTTCTTTTATCACCCACCCAACCAGTATTTATTTAGCACCAATTATGTCAGCCTCCTCAAGTACACAGAGGGAGTAGATCTTGACATGAAGGTGTCCACAATGTAGTGGATGAGTAAGACAGATATGAAAACAAACATTTATAATGCGGCCTGCTAAGTGGCCTCTAGTAATAATAGAGATAATAACAGCTAATACAGAACCTACTCTGTGCCAGGGACAGTTCAGACTGATCGAATTTATTAACATGTTTGTTTTCTGTAAGAACACTGTGAAGAGCTTACTCTAGTAATACAGGGCTGAGCGGTTAAGTTCAAAGGTCCAAAGTGTGGCAGCTTGTCTGAACATACATAAAGCAGCAGAGGCTTGCTTAATTTTGATGCTCCTTTAAGGAGTCGGTGTTAATGCATTATTTGTTGAATAAATGAAGGAGGGAGATGATGAGTTATTAGTAATTTTGTTGGTAGCAACCAGAAAGTATTGTAGTAAAAAAAAAAGTGCAGGAATCATAAAATGTATGGCATAAATTAGCTATGAATTACTTGATTTCCATGAGACCCCAAAATTCAAAGTTCCATGCCTTAGTGTGGAGATGTACTGAATTTATTATAATATAGTGTGCTATTTCTTTTTTTGTTTTAATGTATTTATTCATATAGAAATGGAGTAAAGGCCAGAGGTGTGGGGCGGTGAGAGGATTCACCAGAGACAGAGTGGGGAGCAGAACAGGCAGATCGACAAAGTACACTGCTGAGGGGGGCAGCGGGCAAGACAGGAGAGGTCTGCTGTGCCATGTGGGTCATCCCCTGGCCAGGCGATCTATCTCACACTGAAGCAGCTGCGGCCAGCTTGCAGTGTTGTATTTTAACCCATTGCCCGTCGTGAGGGCCCTCTTTCTTAACATTTCAAAGGAAAGAATTACTCTTTAATTTTAAGGCCGTGACTTTGTTCCCCTCCACTATCTGGCAGTAGGTAGCAGCTCAAAGTTTGGGTCTGCAGTATTCTTCAGTTGCCCTTTTACAATCATTCCTGAAAAAATAGTCTATTCTTGTTAAAACTGCAAGTCAAGATGTGCTTTAACCAAAGGTGTTTTCCAATTAGATATTTATTACACAATTTTAGTAAGGACATCATGGGAAAAGAAAGGCACCCAATTCCATGAAGCCTGCCACAATCTGTAGAGCATTTGATGTTGTAGTAGATGCTCAGTAAACGTTTCATTAATTTGTAACTTAACAGCTTCACTTTAGAAACCAATTTAAATGTTAAGTTCTTAAAAAACACAATGTTCTGTCTTAGGACAAATAACATTTCACCTTTTAAGTAATTTTTAAAAAATTATGTTCTCTTATGGTGTTGAAACATGGGAAGTCACAGCAATTGAACTATTTAAAGGTAAGTGGTGTTTTACGTGTGTTACAAAGAACATGGGACCCAAGTAGCCAGTTGTTTAACAAAATTATTTTTTTAAGATATTTTAAAGAAAATTGTCTGTAACCATGAAAATGTTTGTTGAATAAATAAAAACGGAGACCTGTGCATTTTCTTTACATAGTACAAATGTCAGTTATTATCATTTTTATGCTATTTTGCCTGTAGAGATCCAAATGATCATTCTCTCTCTTCATGTTATTTCTTCACTTCTACTTTGATACTTGAAGTTTATATTTTCAGGGCTTACTTTCCCTTCTAAGTCACAAGGACTGGGAGAGAAAGGAAGAAAATGGGTTTACTGAATTATCTACAACATGATTTATATTTATTTCTTATTTAGAAATGATAGCATTTCAGCTTCATGGAGACATAGTTAACAGAACTGAAAGCAATTTACAGCACACCTCGTGATGATTTAGTTGTACTTATCTTTCACTCATTTGGCAGATTTTTGTTTTGACGAGAGCCAAATCCAGGCCTGGGCTACAGAGTAACAGCCTTTGTTTGCCTGTAGCTGAGACAAGTAGATTTTACAGCGGGGTAAATTCAATGGCATCAGATTACCAGGGAGTAGGGACCAGGGGCGCCTGAACCCTTCTGTGGAATCAAGGATGACCTGTAGAGGCCTTATCGTGGTGCTCATGAGGAGTTAGCTCTGGTGAAAAAGAATTTAGGATGATGATGGTAAGAAAAAACTGTAGACAGAAGGAAGAGCAAGTAAATATTGGGGAGCATGAGGGAAAGGATGAGGGGAGCATGGGAGCTGGTCAGTTAGATGATTTCTAGAGCCCCCTCACCCCTGGGAGGTAAGTGTCATTATTCCCCTTCGTTGTGACATTTCACATGAATCATGTTTAAGCATGTACGTGTACATGCATGCATGTATGATCCTGAAATACTACTGTGAGTTGTTTGCATAACTATCTCACTTTGGGGGGACATTTCCAAACCACCCCATGTGCATCTGCTTCACTCACCTTCCACCAAAACACCCATGCAAATGTCCTACTTGAATGATTTTATTTTAAGACTTATTTTGTATTTATGCATACAAGAACTGGGTACAGTCCAGAGGTGTGGGGGTGAAAGCATTCACCAGAGGGGAGCAGAACAGGCAGATCTACTGAAGTACACTGCTGAGGAGAGCAGCAGGTGAGACAGGCAAGGTCTGCTGTGCCTTGCAGGTCACCTGCCTGGCCAGGGATGGAACTCATGCTGAAGCGGCTGCAGCTAACTAACTGTGGTCTTCAGTCACTTGGAGGTGCAAGCTCTTTTAAGAGGGGAGGAAATTGACTTTCATTGCCTTCTAAGATTTTTCATCCCTTGACCATTCAACTCAGTGTTCATGTTTAGACATTTCTTCCAGAATGTACAAACTTCTTCCATCTCTCCCTTTATTATCATCATTATTATCATTATCATTATTATTAAACACACCAGGAAACTTCGCCGGCTACGACTGTGGGGACTGCAAGTTCGGCTGGGCGGGTCCCAACTGCGATCGGAAGAAACCACCAGTCATCCGGAAGAATATCCATTCATTGACACCCCAGGAGAGGGAGCAGTTCCTGGAAGCCTTGGACCTGGCCAAGAACACCCCACATCCCGACTATGTGATCACCACGCAGCACTGGCTGGGCCTGCTTGGGCCCAACAGGACCGAGCCACAGATCGCCAACTGCAGCATTTACGATTTCTTTGTGTGGCTCCATTACTATTCTGTTAGAGATACGCTGCTAGGTGAGATTTTTCCTTACCTGAAGGTCTGTTGTTACAGGTTTGGGATGGAGGAGTGCATGGTGAGGAAATAATTTCATACAAGTTAGTTAGCAAGAAGAGGATCTCAAGGAAGGATTAGTTTTCTGAAAAGCATGGAGTTACGAAATGCTGCCTGCAGTTAGGATGGAGCGGTTCCTTCCTGTATGTTAACTGCAGACATGTGAAAACTTTCTCTCCCATGGCTTGTGTTTTGGGTCCAAAGTCTAAAGCTGTCTCTATGATGTTGTTAATCTTCAAAGGTAAAACCTGTGAAGTGGAGGCAAATTCCTCTTAATTCCAGAAGGAAACATTCTTAACTCTGACTATGGAAACCTTCTCTGACCTTTCCTTTAAATTAGAGGCATTAACTGAACATAAGCTGAAGCATATGAGCCTTCTTTCTGCAAAACTAGGCATTTGCATGGGAAACGCACATCTCAGCTTAACTCCATTGAACTCACGTGTCTTAGTCTTAGACGTTAAGGTCATGTTATGCTGTGTGATGCTGTGACCCCTGGGTATTGTGGGCTTGTGTTGTCAAGGATCAGCAGAATTTGGATCACCATTATGCTGCTCAAGTAGAATCTCTCTGACTTAACTCCTTGGGCCACAGTTACATTGGTTGCTTGAGAAAATGGTGTGCCCTTCTGTAGCCTAAAGATTGGAACTGAGTGGATTGTGGAGTGCTTTGTGGGGAATTTCCTTCATCTGGTAGGTACAGCTCTCTCCTCACTAATTTTTCAGTCAGGGGGAAGCTGTAGACAAAGTTTGTTCCAGAAGGACTTGAGCCTATTCTCTGTTGTGCTTGGTGCCTTGAGCCTTTGACACCACCTGCAACACCCTCCACGTTGGGGACCCCTCTGCTGTTGGGGTGGTTGGAAGCATCACTTGGAGTTGTGAGATTTTCGTTTAGAATTGCCCATCCTTGCATTTTTTTCACTGGTTCACTGTCACTAGATTGTACAGTTTTGAGGACTTTAAACTTTGTTTTGGATCAAAACATTAAAAAAAGACTAGTGGTCAACAGCAGCTATAGCAGGTCTTTCCTCAGCAGGAGGCCTTTTAAAAAACTTGCCTGTAAGGGAAGCATCTGTCTTTCTTTATCTCTAGATAAGAAGGCTCTCCTGGCTATAAACCTTTATGGGCTTCCTGTCATCACTCTGAGGGATTTTTGCTTTATGAGAGGGTTGTCTCTCAAGAGGAGAAGAAAACTATAGTTTCTGGCCATATCTAGAAATTAAATTTATATTCATGTCTGTTCAGCTCCCTGAAGTTATTATAGGTACTTTAAAAAAGAACTGAAGTTAGCTCAAGTTTCTACATAACCATCAAAAGCTGTTAAGAAAGGGGAAGAGGGATGGAACAGGCAGTAAGGAGGTCATTAAATTGCCCAAAGCTGTTCACTAAAATTGGCAGTTCCAGTGACCGGGCCAAATAGCTTTGAATGCATTTTTCCCTTTTCTGGTCTCGGCGACCAAGCTTGTCAGCTACTTGTTGGGATTGATTGATGGCTGAGGTACAATCACGGTAAGTTCTTTTCGGTTCTATACATGCTGAATTAGGACGAAGCACAGAGGAGGTTGTTTTATTATAAATGAATACCTCGCTTTTAAATGTGCACATTTGTGAGACTACGTTAGAGATTGTCTTTAAAGATTCTGTTTCCTTAGGTTTTAATGACTTATTCCTTTGGTTACTCTTATTTCACCTTGATGAAAGTTTTTATGTTATATTAAAATGACCTGCTTTTTAATATTTTGGATCTCTGTTGGCAATCAAACTTGGGGTGAGAAAGGAGAGAGACTATATTGTGAAAGTGCTTGTTGCTTCTGAAATTGTTGTTGCAAAACAAATGTGATTTTGCCTGAAACATTTTGCCTTCGCTGGCTCTGCAGATACACCCAGGGAAGATTTAATATTGAAAGACTGATCTGTGCTCCCCAATGGCTTCTGCTTGTTTTAGGACCGGGGCGCCCATATAAGGCCATAGATTTCTCGCATCAAGGACCTGCTTTTGTCACCTGGCACCGGTACCATTTGTTGTGGCTAGAAAGAGATCTCCAGGTTGGTCCCAACTGTACATTTGGTTCTTTTCATTGTGCTCCACATTTTGGTGATGGTGCACATCAGACTTTGTTCTCCATACTTTCTCGTATCCATGACACGAATTCTGTGACCGGACATGCTCTTTGTTTCCAGCGGCTCACTGGCAATGAATCCTTTGCTTTGCCCTACTGGAACTTTGCCACTGGGAGGAACGAGTGTGACGTGTGTACAGACCAGCTCCTGGGGGCAGCGAGACAAGATGACCCAACGCTGATTAGTGTGAACTCCAGATTTTCCAACTGGGAGATTGTCTGTGACAGGTAATTCAGAGGCACCTGCATGAAAATCCAGAGACTTACTTGACTTACTTGTCTGGGAGGTGGAGAATTGCTTTATATTTCTATTCCTGGTGCATGATGGGCTCTATTGAATTTCCAAGCAATAGTGTTCCAATGGTGGGATTTTTAAGTCCTTAATACAAACATATAGAGGCACTTGGATGTTCAATATGCTCTGTATCAGCATTTTTTTCTTTAGATTTATTTATTTATGCATGCAGAACTGTGATACAGGCCAGAGGTGCAGGGATGGTGAGAGGCTTCACCAGAGACAGAACAGACTGACTGATGAAGTACACTGCTGAGGGGAACAGTGAGGAGACAAGAGAGGTCTGCTGTGCCCTATGGGTCACCTCCCCTCTGGGATGGAACTTGCCATGAACCAGCTGCAGCTAGTGGCTCTCTTTGAGGTGCTGTGCTTGAGCCCCTTGTGCCTTTTGGGAGAGCCCTTCAGGCATTTCTTAAGCACTGATCATACTAAGCAGTATAATAGTGCTGGGAAAACCAAGACAAGTAAAATAGAGCTTTCCTTTTAAATAAAGGTTTAGTTACAAAGGTAGACTCCTTGCAAACAGGTTACAATACAATGCAAGTAACATTCTAATAGGTGTACATAGAAAGCCCAGAAGAGAAGTAAGGAAATTCTTAGGATGTGGTGGACAATACCCTTAAGACTTTAAGAACTTCAGCAGGTGGAGGGGAGCGTGTGTCTCATGTGGAGGTAACATCACACGTGAAGCTAGGAAAGTCTCTGGGAGCAGTCTGGCTGGCTGTAGACTGCTGGTGTGTTGAGAGGGCCAGGGGAGAAGAGTCCCGAAGCGCTAAAGACACATCAGCAGGTAGACTGCAGCTGGCAGCCCTGAGCAGTTCTGTCTCTGGGGATTCACTGAACAAGTCTCGCTTTCCTGGAATTCTTTTCAGAAAAAGATTCCCAGGGGACGCCTCCTTATTCATTTTCTGCCCTTCAAGGTTTTCTGTTGGTAAACACATCACTCTCCCTCCCCTGTCCTGTGTCTTGGTCTGCTGCTTGACACAGCTGCAGAACCAGCTCCTTTGAGTCTGGATAGACCCACACATTCAGGGGCCCAGGCCTAGGTAGCGGGGAGACCGCCTTTTACCCCTGAAGCCCCTAACCCCTCCGGTAGCTCTCCGGACAGTGTCCACAGCATGTGCGTACATGATAAGTGCTTTTTACATGACTTAGCTTGATGCCAACAGTACTATTTCTTATCCTGCCTTAGGGGATTTGTAGGTAGTACGTGAAATAGATTTCATGATCAAATAAATTGAAGGAATATGCTGAGTGAAAGGTTATTTTTATCTTAGACCTCTTGGTGTCTTTTTTTTTTAAGATTTATTTATTTATGCATACAGAACTGGGGTACAGGCTGGAGGTGCAAGGATGGTGAGAGGATTCACCACACACATAGAGTAGGGAGCAGAACAGGCAGATCAATAC